CCAAGAGTATTTGGTTCATTGTTTAAGTAAAGAGATGACGACATCTATGCAACCCGTTTTGGCACAAGGGCTGGTATGCAACCTCCCTGAACGTCAGTGATATCAGCCCTGGACTTCAGCCACCAAAGTGAGGACCCCTGAGGATTCAACCAGGCAGGTCAGAGCCACAGCGCAACCTGCTGGACGGTCTTTTTTTATGTTTTCCTACTAGGACCGTCAGCTCACACGAGGGCATGGGGTCTGCTGTCCTGTTCACTCCCTCCATCCCTAGTTTCGCAGGAACACCAGAGTGAGGGGCACTCACTGAAGAAGTAAACAATACAATAAATAAACAACCGAGGCCCTGGGTAAGTGGGCTCACACAGTGCGGCCCTGTCCTCCCCTAGCACTTTAGGAAGCGCCGGAGGCTAGAGGGATCCGCTTGAGCCCCAGGAGGTTCAAGCCAGCCTGGGCAACCGTACCACAGACCACTTTACTGTACAAACACCGCAATCAATCACAATAATGACAACAACTAAAAATTAACAGGCCGGCGCACGGGTGGCTCACGCCTATAATCCCCCCAGCACTGGGGAGGACACCACGAATCAACTGAGGTAGGAGTTTGTGAACAGCTGAAACACGGAGAAGCCATCTCTAAAACTAATAGGTGGGGTGGTGCGCATGCTGTATCCAGTAGGGGGGTTGGGCAGGCGATATTTGCAAACAACGGGCAGTGGAGGTTGCAAGCAGAGCATGCCGATTGGCACTCCAGCCTTGGGACAGACGAAACTCACACACATAACCTTTCTTTTCAATTCGCGCCTCGCTGCGCTCCGTGCCCCATTGCTTGGGAGATTGAGGTGGGCAAGGATCTTACGGGTGGAGCCGAGTGAGCTATTATTGGGTCTCATGTGCGGCTGGACACAGAAGACTTTGGAAAAAAAAGTCATATGAGCCACAAATAGAATTGTCCACCGTCGGTTAACAGGACCCCTTTACATAAAAAGCGCTAAGACCTGGGCCCAGGCACAGTGGCTCAACGCCCTGTAATCCCCACGCACGTTTGGAGGGCTGAGATGGGCGGATTCCTTGGAAGTCAGGGCGTCTTGAGGGCACCAGCCTGGCCCAACAAACTGGTGAAACCGTCTCCTTAACTAAAAATACAAACATTAGCCGGTATGGCTGGCCATGTGGCCTGGTAATCCCAGCCTGACTCGAGAGACCTGGAGGCAGGGAGAATCGCTTGAAACCTGGGAGACAGAGGTTGTAGTGAGCCCGAGCAATCATGACATGCTGCAGCTCCAGCTGGGCGGACAAGAGCAAAACTGCCCATCTCAAAAAAAAAAAAAAAAAAGAAAAGAAAAAAAAGAAAAGAAAGTGAAGTACAGAGAGGTATAGTCACTTTCACCCTTTCACCAACACAGAGCTGGGGAGTGGCAGAGCTGGGATTTTAACTTGGGGACCCAGCCCTGAGCCTGTGATCTCAAGTCCTGCCATCACACCCATCGGCTTCAGTCTAATGTCCAACTCAGGGGCTGCCTCTCAAGGTGAGCCCTCCCTGAACCTTCTGGCCCCCACATACCCACTCCTGATCTGCCCCAGGCTCGTCTCTGGCTATTGGGTGGGGCAGCAAAAGAGTCCCCTCCTCACCAGGGCGGGGTAAGGCAGAAAGCCCCCAACAGCCAGGCCCAGAGCACTCTGTGGGAAGTCCCCTGCCAGCCCGGCCTGGCTTGGGGAGGGTCTTACCTCCTCATGTGCTCGTTGGCTACTCCTTGGATGTAAACAGACATTCCCACGCTGAGCCCGCCCGGGATGGGCTTGTAGTAAGGCAGTGTCTGCAGAAGACGCCTGGTGAGGGGACTCACAAGCCATCTGCCTGTTGCAGTCTTTAACCCTCCCGGAAAAGCCCCCCAGTCCCTTAAGCAGGGGAGAGGAAACCACAGGTGAGGACCAGGTTGAAGATGACGAGGGCCGACAGTTAGACGTGGACACAGACAGCCTGAGGTCAGGGTGGGAGTAAATTGAGGGTCTGGGTCGGCTTTGGGTAAATCAAACCACAGAGTTAGATGGGCCCCCCCAGGATCAGGGGAGGGAAAATTGGTGTGAGGGCTTATGGACGGAGCTGCGAGCAGGGTGGGGCCTGAGTCGGCGTCTCACCGGGTTGTAGGTGGGCTGGTAGCCCGGTGCGGGGACATAGGCCATCGCTCGAAGTTGCGCTAGTGGCTGGTCCTGTGAGAAGAGCTGCAGGAGTGGGAGATGGTGGCGAATGGCAGGCGGTGGTGGCTCTTATACCCAGGGTAAGGGCGTGGCTGGCAGGGGAGGATCCATAGGGCTTGTCTTCTGGGACTGTCAGGCTGTCGGCTTCTCCTAGAGCGCACCCCAGTCTCCCTTCCCTTGCCAGCTTACCTGGTGACCAGCCAGGACCCAAATCACCTGGGTCCCCTCCCCTATCCCCCCTGCAAAGAGGAAGTGCTGATGAACTTTGGCCCTGCCAGGGCCTTATCAGAGTCCATAAAACCCTGCCCAGAATTCTGTTGGCAGAGGGAGGGTAAGAACAGGCAGGGCAGGGCGGGGCTGCAGGAGTGACCCAGGACAGGTGGGCAGCGGAGGAGGAGAACTCAGAGGAACTGCAAATTCCTGCCTCTCCCAGCAACTGTGAAGGGACCTACATTGATTACGTGCCCACCACACGGCTTTACCACATACGTTGTAGTGTAGTGAGAGTGGTTTAGATTACTAGTGTGTGGAGCCAGAGGTTCTGGGTTCAAATCCTGCCTTTGCCACTTCTCAGCTGTCTGATCCTGGGTCAGTGCCTTACCCTCAATTTGCCCATATGCTTATCTGTAAAATGGGGATAGTAGTAGTATCAGCTGGGTGCAGTGGCTCATGCCTGTAATCCCAGCACTTTGGTTGGCTGAGGTGGGTGGATCATCTGATGTCAGGAGACCAGCCTGGTGAAATTCCAGTCTCTACTAAAAATACAAAAATTAGCCAGGCATGGTGGCAGGCGCCTATGATCCCAGCTATTTGGAGGCTGAGGCAGGAGAATCGCTTGAACCTGATGGTGGAGATTGCAGTGAGCCGAGATCATGCCACTGCACTCCAGCCTAGGTGACAGAGGGACACTGTATCAAAAAAAAAAAAATTATAACAGAGGAAACAAGCATTGAATAGCTTTCAAAATTTTTTTTTTTTTTTTTTTTTTTTGAGACGGAGTCTTGCTCTGTTGCCCAGGCTGGAGTGCAGTGGCCGGATCTCAGCTCACTGCAAGCTCCGCCTCCCGGGTTCAGGCCATTCTCCTGCCTCAGCCTCCCAAGTAGCTGGGACTACAGGCGCCCGCCGCCTCACCCGGCTAGTTTTTTGTATTTTTTAGTAGAGACGGGGTTTCACCGTTTTAGCCAGGATGGTCTCGATCTCCTGACCTCGTGATCCGCCCGTCTCAGCCTCCCAAAGTGCTGGGATTACAGGCTTGAGCCACCGTGCCCGGCCCAAAATATTTTAAACATGAATTTGTGATCCAGTAATGCCTGTATGTCGTTAATCTACCAAATAAGAAGATCTAGCAGTGGGTCCAACAGTTACTCAAAAAAAAAAAAAAAAAAAGAAAAAAAAAAAAAAAAAAGAGTAGTATCAACATTGGGCTGAGTGTGGTGGCTCATGCCTACAATCCCAGCACTTTGGGAAGTTGAAGCAGGAGGACTGCTTGAGCCCAGGAGTTCAAGACCAGTCTGGGAAATATAGCGAGACCCCATGTCCAAAAAATAAAAATAAAAATTAGCTGGACACGGTAGCACACAGCTGTATGCCTAGCTACTCGGGAGGCTGAGGCAGGAGGATTGCTTGAACCCAGGAGTTCAAGGTTACAGCGAGCTATGATCATGTCACTGCACTCGAGCCTGGGTGACGGACTAAGACCCTGTCTTTAAAACTAACAACAATAATAGTCATATTAATAATCATAATAGTATCAACTTCATAAGAGTCCTTGATCATTAAGATAATAAATGCTCAGAACAGGACTTGGCATATAGAAGTCATTACATTAATGCTTGGTCTCTTGCAGTCATTCCAAACATAAATCCAGAAGATTGGGAAGATATACGGATAAAAAGCCCTGAAGTTTTTGTTTGTTTGTTTTGTTTGTTCATTTTTGAGACAGAGTCTTGCTCTATCACCCAGGCTGCTGTGCCGTGGCACCATCCCGGTTCACTGCAACCTCTGCCTTCCGGGTTCAAGCGAGTCTCCTGCCTCAGCCTCCTGAAGAGCTGGGATTACAGGCATGCCCCACACCTGGCTAATTTTTGTATTTTTAGTAGAGACCAGGTTTTCCCATGTTGGCCAGGCTGGTCTCAAACTCCTGACTTCAAGTGATCAGCCTGCCTCAGCCTCCCAAAGGGCTGGAATTACAGGCATGAGCCAGTGCACCCGGCCAGAAAACCCAAAGTTGTTTGTCGTTTTTTTGTTTTTTTGAGACAGTCTCGCTCTGTCGCCCAGGCTGGAGTGCAGCAGCATGATCTCGGCTCGCTGTAACCTCACCTCCCAGGTTCAAGCATTCTCCTGCCTCAGCCTCCCCAGTAGCTGGGACTACAGGCACCTGCCACCACACCCAGCTAATTTCTGTATTTTTAGTAGAGATGGGGTTTCACCATGTTGACTAGGCCTGTCGCGAACTCCTGAACTCAGGCGATCCACCTGTCTGAGCCTCCCAAACTGCTGAGATTACAGGTGTGAGTCACCGTGCCCAGCACTCCTTAGTTTTAAAGATATGAGGCTCAAGATTTGGTAACCAGGGAATCCCAGCTAGACGCCAGCACCAGATCCCATGTGCTGTGCAGTGAGAGGTGCCAGGCAGGGCGCGAACGCCTCCCTCAACCCCAGGGCAGGCAGGGAGACCGGGAAGCCTTGCAACCCAGGGGGAGCCCAGCGACTTTTGCTCACTCCCTCCTTCCCTGGCTCCCTTGTGCCCCTCGCCTGCCCGCTGCCTGTCTGAATGGCCATCACCTCCATGCCACCCATTCCCATGCATCTAACCTCTAGCCCCAGCCTTCAGGACTGCGGTCTCTGGAGCCTCCACGGGCATCCCAGCCCCTCCCACCTCTCCTCTTTCCAAGAAGATCACCGGTTTCTTTACTTTGCTTTATTGTTCGTGGGGTGAAGATAAGGCCTTGGGCTTGAGAAAGTCATTGTCATATAGTTATAAACTGGGAGACTGGGTGAGAAGGCATAGAGACAACGGTCATCGCCCATCCTCCCTTTCTGCGGATGAGGTGGGACAAGGCCAGCCCCCTGGCTGGGGAACGGGATGCGAGAGCTCTCAGAGCTTGGAGAAGGTGACGCTTTTCAGTTCCTTGTTCTCAGTCACGGCTTGGACCGACTTGGCGATGTCCTGGGTCTGCAGCATGCTCATGTTCCAGGACGCCTGGTACGGAGGGTGTTGGGAAAGAACGAGGAGACAGATTAGCAGGGGCCAATCAGGATGAAGCATGCGAGCACCCTGAGCCTTGGTTGGTCCCTGGGGTTAGAGGAGGGCTGTGACTGGTTGGAGCAAGCGCCTTACCACGTAGTTGAGGCTCTCGGCCACCGAGTGGTCGCGGGAGTAGAGCAGGTTGACCTTGGTGCCCTGCACCGCCACGGGGCTCTTGCTGGAAATCTCGGCCGCCAGCGCTAAGGCAGCATCGAGCATGACCTCCTTGTCTGGCAACACCCGGCTGCAGCCAAAGAGATCAGGGACCGGGTGGGCTGGGAAGGGCTCTCTCCCGCAGCCTCCCGCAGATGAGGAAGTGGCCACTCACAGAGGAAGGCCCAAGACCCCAGAGAAACAGCCCAATGGGAGCAGGGGACTGACCCCACACTAAAGAAATGACCTCGCCAAGAAAGGATGCCACTTGGAATTCTCGAGGGAGGAAGCCTCCACCCCTCCAGACCTGGCTGCCCCCAGCACTCAGCCACCAGGGCCATGGCCCTACCTGACCAGGCCGCAGCCCAGGGCCTCATCAGCCATCATCTTGCGGGCGGTGAAGGCCAGCTCGTTGACCAGGCTGCAAAGAGGAGCGTGCATCAAGAGGTGGCTGTCACCCCGGGGCTGCGAGATGCTCTGGGGTGCCCCGCCCACACACCCACACCCCCTGCACCCACCTCTGGTTCCCGATGACCTTGGGCAGGCGCTGCAGTGTTCCTACATCGGCAGCCAAACCCACGTCCACCTCCTGGGGGAGGAACCGGGTCAGTGTTTGGTTTCTGCCCAATACTGTGCCCCTCGCAACGGCAACGTCCATGAAATTTCATGTTTACCGGAGAGTCCCGCCCCACCTTCACCCCAGGGACTTCCTCCAAAGTCCCACTCCATTGCCCAGGCAGCTTCTTGGCTCAGGCAAGTTCCTTCAACCTAGAATAGAGCCCGCCTTCCCACTCACGCGCCCTCCCATCCCTTCAGGGCAGCTCCATCTATCATGAGAGAGGCGCCCTTTTCACCCTACCTGAGACCCCTTTACTGTGTCCCCGGCTCCATCCTGCCTCCCACCTTCATCCGTATGGCCCCAGGAGCAATCCCTGCCTCTGGCACCTGCCAGCCTCAACCCCACCCCATATCTAACCCATTCACAACTTCACCTCTTGACTTCCTCTACGGGCAAGTCTTACTTTGTCAGGTTCAACTCCGACTCTTCCATGAAGCCCTTGGGGCTCACTCCAGGCCCCCCAACCCCACCCCACTGCCCAGCTCTAAGCAGGAGCTCAGGAGGATGGCTCACCTTCACCTGGAAGAAAGCGTCCTGGGCACAGTACCGGATGTCACAGGCGGTGATGAGGTTCACACCTAGGAGGTAGAGGCCAGGGACGCTGAATGACCACCAGAACCAACCCCGCCCCCCAGGACATGTGGCTGCCTCTTGGGACACAGTCTGGCCCATGACAGAGCTGAGGCTGGAGGCCAGTGGCCGCAGCATTGGGGCAGCAGCCGGACCCGGGGAGCACCCGAGCAGGAGGACAGCCACAGACTCACCTCCGCCAATGCAGCCCCCGTGGATGGCAGCAATCACAGGCTTGGGGCACTGAGAGGGAACAGGAAGAGTGGGGTCAGGGCTGGCCCAGGGGAGGCGGGCATGGAGGGGGATGCCCTCCAGCCCCCTAGAGTCACCTTCTCGATGACGCTGAAGGTCTCCTGATATCGAGTGAGGATGTCACGGAGGTACCAGCTGTTCCGGGCCACATCATCTCCTTTGGGCTGCAGGATGTCCGAAGCCAGGTGCATCAGGTCAATACCTGGTGAGAAGGCGTGGAGAGCTCACCCAGGCCCCCAGGCCCCATCCACTGCCCCAACCAGGGGTCAGAACCCAGGCGCAGCAGGTTCGAACCCCCAAACCACCAAGGCGGAAAAAACAACTCACACAGGACTGGGTGAGGGATTGCTTGTGGAGTGGGAAGGAAATAAAAGGCAGCATTTGTGGAGTCATTACTCACTGAATCCTCACAACAACCCTATCAGCTAGGTCCTATTACTATTTGTGTTACTGATGGGTAAACTAAGGCACAGAGAGGTTAAACACTTGCCCAAGGGTTGGCTGGTGAGTAGTGAGTGTGAATTATTTAAATTAACTCATTAATGTTTTTGGAGACAGGGTCTCACTCTGTTACACCAGCTAGAGTGCAGTGGCACGATCATGGCTCACTGCAGCCTCCAACTCCCAGGTTCAAGCAATCCTCCCACCTCAGCCTCCTGAGTGGTTGGGACTGTGCCCAGGCTGGTTTTGAACTCCCGGGCTCAAGTGATCCTCCCACCTCGGCCTCCCAAAGCACTGGGATTGCAGGTGTTAGCCACCATGCCATGCCAGAGTGGGCTTTTAAAACCTGGACCATGCAGCTGGCTCCAGAGACCATGCTCCTCCCCAAGATGCCAGACAACCCGGGACTCAGGGTCTGCGGCGTGAGCGATGGAGTCAGTGGTGCTGCTGTTTCCTGAGATGAGAGACATCTCAGGATGCAGCAATTTCTGTGGCTCCAACTTCAAGATGATCCCGAATCTGACCTTTCCTCCATCAGTTGTTCTCCATGAGCCCGCCCTGCTCTCTGTTTCCACCTGTGTCCCCAGTCTATCCCCACACGCAGCCAGGGGGAGCCAGGGGACACCTTCTTGGGTCAGATGCTCTTGTTTTTGAGACAGAGTCTTGCTCTTGTCACCCAGGCTGGAGTGCAGTGGCATGATCTTGGCTCACTGCAACCTCCACCTCCCGGTTCAAACGATTCTCCTGCCTCAGCCTCCCGAGTAGCTGGGATTACAGGCGCCCACCATCACGCCCAGCTAATTTTTGTATTTTTAGTAGAGATGGGGTTTTGCCATGTTGGCCAGGCTAGTCTCAAACTCCTGACCTTGTGATCCACCCGCCTCGGCCTCCTAAAGTGCTGGGATTACAGGCCTGAGCCACTGTGCCTGGCCCAGACCCTCTTTTTCCCTCCTGTCGCTATTAGAACAAAATGGAACATCCTTGTTATGACTACCCTGCGTGAACACCGTTCACAACCTAGTAATTTGGGCACACTGGCCTCCAGCTCTGTGTGTGTGTGTGTGTGTGTATGCACATGCACGCGTGGACAGGGTTGCTGCAGTGTTACAGGATCTTCTCGGTGAGTAGGTGACCTGGAGTAATAGGAGTGACCTGGAGTAAATATCCAGAGGAGGAGAGGGAGGGAGCCAAGGACCTTTGGGCTGATAACTATCCCTCCCTCTTCAACAGCCACACACCGACTCCTTCACTTCCTTCAGCCACAGCTCAAAGGTCACCTCCTCAGACAGGCCCTCCCTGGCCAACCTAGCTAAACAGTGGCAGCATCCCCTGCATCCTGATCCCGCCTTACCTCTGGGCTGCATGGCTCCCTGTCCTATCGCTATGTCCTTATCTGCTTGAGGGCCTGACTCCCTTTCTAGAATGTGAGCTCTGAGAACACAGGAGTTCTTGTCTTTCTGTCCACTGCTGGATCCCCTGTGCCTAGAACAGGGCATGGCACACATGAGCTGCTCAATAGGTGACCAATATAGACAACAGTCCCCGTCCTCGTGGGGAGGCAAAGGAATAAACAAATATTTTGGGGCTGGGCTTAGTGGCTCACGCCTGTAATCCCAGCACTTTGGAAGGCAGAGGCAGGAGGATCGCTTGAGGCTAGGATTTTGAGAACAGCCTGGGTCAACATTGCAAGACCTCTTCTCTACAAGAAATGAAAAAATTAGCTGCACATGAGGCTGGGCGTGATCGCCTGTACTCCCAGCACTTTCGGAGGCTGAGGTGGGCGGATCGCTTGAGCCCAGGAATTGGAGGCTAAGATGCGTAAGCTATGATCGCGTCACTGCACTCCAGCCGGGGCGACAGAGCGAGACCCTGGCTCCAAAATAAAAAGTAAAAAGAAAAGAATATGGCAGGCAGAGAGACAGAAAGCGGTGGTAGGAGCCAGATCACTGCCTGAGGCCAAAGTCCCCCTTACTTTTAACCAGCATGCCAGCTACTGAGATGACAGACATTTAGCAGTTAAAGAGCAAGGACTCTATGGCCAGGCAGCCTGAGTTCCAAAATCCCAGCTCTGCCACTTACAAGCTGTGAGAGTTGGGTAAGATTTTTGCTCTCTCTGGATCTGTTTCACCTTTAAACGGGGCTTATAGCGGAACTTGTCTTGTGGACTCTGATTGGAATTAATTGATATGTTTAAAGTGCTTAGAAAGGGGTGTGACACACCGTGAGTGCTGCATAATTGTAGCCAACTTTTTCTTTCTCTATTTAGTAGTTCTACTCTCTCACTGGGTCACGGCATGACCCGCTGTTTCTTCTTTCTGGCCTTCGGGGTCTTGTTGCTTTAAAAAAAAAGATGAGATGGCCGCATTCAGCTGGGAGCTGAAAGATGGAGGACCTGGGCCCGGCACAGCCAGAAAAGAGCCTCATCTTTCTGTTCTGAGACATGACCTCTATGGGAGCAAGGGGTCAGGAATGGGGGCTGCCTCCCGTTTCCACATCTCCAGCACCCAGGAGGGGGCTCTGGCCCTGGACTGTGTCACTGAATGTTTGTCAAATGAATGAACAAATGAACAAAAGGAGGAACAGAGCAAGATGCAGAAAGAAAGGAGGAGGCTGGGCGTGGTGGCTCATGCCTGTGATCCCAGCACTTTGGGAGGCTGAGGCGGGAGGATCACTTGAGCTCAGGGGTTTGAGACCAGCCTGGGCAACATAGCAAGCCCCGCCTCTACAGAAAATGAAAAAACTAGCTGTGCATGGTGGTGCACACCTGTGGTCCCAGCTACTTGAGGGGCTGAGGTGGGAGGATGGCTTGAGCCCAGGAGGCTGCAGCTGCAGTGAGCTGAGATTGCCCGGGGGACAGAGGCAGACCCTGTGTCAAAAAAGAAAGAAAGGGAGGGAGGAAGGGAGGGAAAAAGAAGGAAAGAAGGAAGGAAGGAAGGAAGGAAAAGAAGGAAGGAAGGAAGGAAGGAAAGAAGGAAGGAAGCAAAAAAGGAAGGAAGGAAGGAAGGAAGGAATGGAGGGAGGGAGGGAGGGGAGAGGGAGGAGAGGAAGGGGAGGGAGGGGAAGGAGGGGAGGGAGGGGAGAGAGAAACGGGAGGGAAAGAAAGAAAGGGACCTGGGAAGATGTTAATGGACAAAACAGAAAGAAACAGTTGACTGTCTGTCTTCCCCACTGAATTGGGAACGCCATGACCACAGGGCCTGGGACTGTCTCAGTCACCACTGGGTTCCCAGCACTGGGCTCTGGGCCCTGTGCAGAAATCAGTGTAGGAAATATTTTGCTTCTGGTTCACTCCTAAAGGGCCAACCCTCCCACGGACAACTACATACTCTGGCTGGACAAGACACAAACAATTATCTGAAGGCACGGGGCAGATTCTGGAGGGAGTGACACTTGGGAGAGCGGCAGAACACTCTCCCGGTGTTTTTGAAAACGGTTTTGAAAGCTTTCAGCCTGAGGCCAGACTGAAGCTGGGCTTGAAGAGCCATAGGATAGAGTCCGAGGGGACCGTAGCTGCCGAGAAGTGAGGGGGGATATTCCAAAAAGGGGAGAGCCAGAGCGAGGATTCCCAAATTCTGTGTATCACCTCTGTCCTAATCTCTTGCTGGGAGATTTATGTTTTTGTTGTTGTTGTTTTGAGATGGGCTCTTGCTCTGTCACCCAGGCTGGAGTGCAGTGGCAGGATCACAGCTCACTGCAGTTTTGACCTCCCTGGCTCAAGCCATCCTCCCACCTCAGCCTCCAGAGTAGCTGGGAGTGTGGTCATGCAGCACACCCAGCTAATTTCTGTTAGAGACGAGGTCTCAGTTTGTCGCCCAGGATGAAGAATTTTTTTTAAAATCTTTTGCTGGGGGTGCACGTATGGTTTGTAAATCAGCAAGAGGCCAGGCACAGTAGCTCATGTTTACAGTCTCAGCGCATTGGGAGGCCGAGGCAGGAGGATCACTTGAGTTCAAGAGTTCAAGACCAGACGGGGTGACATAGCAAGTCCTCACCTCTACAAAACAATAAAAATAAAAAGAGAAAAACCAAAAAAACTCATTCCAACTAAGCTACTAAAACAGGAAACTCAACACTCTTTGGACTTATATGATAGAATCCAGAATATCCACATCTTATTCTTATATCCCAACATCCAGGAAACAATCCAAACTAACTCAAAATAAAAAGAAACCGGGAAGTGAAGCCATTTTCTTTTTTTTTTTTTTTTTGAGACAGAGTCTTGCTCTTGTCAGCCAGGCTTGGAGTGCAACTGGGCGCGATCCAGGTAAACTGCAACTTCCATGGTCTGGGTTTCAAGCCATTCTCTGCCTCAGGCCTCATCCAATAGCTGGGTTACAGGCCGGCATACCACATACACGTTGGATAATTTTTGTATTTTATTAGCACAGACACGGGGTTTCCAACATGTTGGGCCAGGTCACGCTATGTCTTCGAATCTCTCTCCTGATCTCTCTAAGTGATCCACTTCTTTCTTGACCTCAGCCTCCCCAAAGTGCTGGGATTACCAAGTGTGAGCCACTGATGTCCTCCGGCCTGGTCCATTTTCTAAAGAATAAAAGTATAACATAAGGAGGAAGAGACTTGACCACAAGGCTGACCTCAGAATTTGAGATTAGAAACAAGGATTTTTTTGGCCGGAAAAAAAAGCCAGACAAAACAAAATGAGCCAGACACTGATATAACCCCCAACACCAATAAATTTAGAACAGGAACACAGAACATAGGATCAAGACAGAGAGTACAAAGAGAGACAGACACAACAACAGTCTGGCTACACGGTCAGAAACGAACGCGCCCGAGCGTCTCTACTCACAAAATACAAAAAAACTAGCCGGGCAATAAAACAACTAGCCGGGCTCGGTGCGGTCGGGCCGCGACTGTAGTCCCCAGCTACTCGGCGAGGCTGAGACAGGAAATGGGCGTCGAACGGGACGGCGGAGCTTGCAGTGAGCTGGATCCCGACTGCAGTGAGCTGAGATCCGCCAACTCGAGCACTCCAGCCTGGGGCACACAGAGCCGAGACTCCCATCTCTCAACAAAAAAAAAAAAAAAGAAAGACAAGGATTTTTTTTTCTTTAATTTACCGAGACCGTCCTGCTGTGCTCCGGCCCAGGCTGAGGCAGTGCGCGCCATCTCAGCTACTGCAACCTCTGGCCTCCCCTCGGTTCCGCCTTCTCCTGACCTCACAGCCTCCCGAGGCGACAGCTGGACTACAGGCACTCGCCAACACGCCCAGCTAAATTTTTTTGTATTGTTTAGTAGAGACAGGGTTTCACGTGTTACGCACGGATGGTCTCAATCTCCTGACACCTCTGATCCACCCTGCCTTGGCTCCAAAGGTGCTGGGCATTCACAGGTGGTGAGCCCGACGTGCCCCAGATTTTTTTTCTTTTTTTTCTTTTTTTTGAGAACGCGGAGTCAGCGTCCGTCAGCCAGGAGACGAGTGCAAGTGGCCGGAATCTCAGGCTCACTGCAAGCTCGCCTCCCGGGTCTTTACGCCATCTCCTGGCTCGGCCTCCCGAGTAGCTGGGACTACAGGCGCCCGCCACCCTCGCCGGGCTAGTTTTCTTTGTATTTTTTATAGAAGACGGGTTTCCACCCGTGTTAACCAGGATGGTCTCCGTCTTCTGACCTTGTGATCCGCCCGTCTCGGCCTCCCAAAGTGCTGGGATTACAGGCTTGAGCCACCGCGCCCGGCCATTTTTTTTTTTTTTTAAGTAGAGATGGCGTTTCACCGTGTTAGCCACCGCGCCCGGCCAGAAGACAAGGATTTTAAATCAGTCATTATAACTATGCTCAATGGCAGGAAGAAAAACATGCATGACAAAAAATAAATAACTGACCAGACACAATGGATCACTCCTGTAATCCCAGCACTTTGGGAGGCCGAAGTGGGCAGATCACTGAAGGCCAGGAGTTCAAGACCAGCCTGGCAGAAATGGTGAGAACCTGTCTCTACCACAAATATAAAAATTAGCCAGGCATGGTGCCGGTTGCCTGTAATCCCAGCTACTCGGGAGGCTGAGGCAAGAGAATGGCTTGAACCTGGGAGGTGGAGGTTGCAGTGAGCCGAGATTGTGCCACTGCACTCCAGGCTAGTCAACAGAGTGAGAGTCCTTCTACAAAAAAGAAAAAAAAAATTAGCCAGGCCTGGTGACAGGCACCTGTAATCCCAGCTACACAGGAGGCTGAGGCAGGAGAATTGCTTGAACCCAGGAGGCAGATGTTGCAATGAGCAGAATTGTGTCACTGCACTCCAGCCTGGGTGACAAAGCGAGATTCTGTCTCAAAATAAATAAATAAATAATGAACCAAATGGGAATTGGAGAATTGAAAACTACAATATCTGAAATTTAAAATCAGTGGGTGGTAGCCGGGCGCAGTGGCTCACACCTGTCATCCTAGCACTTTGGGAGGCCTAGGCGGATGTATGACCTGAGGTCAGGAGTTTTAGACCAGCTTGGCCAACATGGTAAAACCCCATCTCTACTAGAAACACAAAAAATTAGCTGGGCGTGGTGGCAGACGCCTGTAATCCCAGCTACTCGGGTGGCTGAGGTAGGAGAATCACTTGAACCCAAGAAGCAGAGGTTGCAGTGAGCTGAGATTGCGCCATTGCAACAAAAGCGAAACTCTGTCTCAAACAAAATAAAACAAAACAAAAAAATCTGGGTGGGCTTTACAGGAGAACAGAGATGAGGAAAGAGTTAGTAACTGTGATCAGTGGAAATTCTCCCATCTGAAGAACAGGTCAGTGGGTCAATCCAAAGATCCAACTGACCTGTAACTGGAAATCAATGAGTGAGTTGCAGAGTTGCATGAAAGCATGTTATTTCATTATATGCTGACACAGCTATAGAATGAGAGGTTAAACATGTTCTTCATGGCCATAGATCCAGGATGGAAACCCAGACTTCAGAGCCTATGATCCCATCATGTTCTGTTGGACTAATTTTCATATTTGAATGTTTTAAATTAGGCCTTTTAAAAAAAAAATGATAGGGCTGGCCATGGTGGCACCTGCCTGTAAACCTGGCACTTTGGGAGGCTGAGGTGGGAGGATGGCTTGAGCTCAAGTATTTGAGGTTACAGTGATTTATGATTAGGCCACTGCACTCCAACCTGGGTGACAGAGCAAGATCCTGTCTCCCAAAAAAAAAAACCACACACACACAAAAAACAGATAAAACTGTAAGTTAGGGGTCGGATTGGTGGCTCACGCCTATAATCCCAGCACTTTGGGAGGCTGAGGCAGGCAGATTATGAGGTCAGGAGAGCGAGACCATCCTGGCCAACATGGCGAAACCTCGTCTCTACTAAAAATACAAAAATTAACTGGGCGTGGTGGCCCGCGCCTGTAGTCCCAGGCAGGAGAATTGCTTGAACTCGGGAGGCAGAGGTTGCAGTGACCTGAGTTTGCGCCACTGCACTCCAGACTGACAACAGAGCAAGACCCCGCCTCAAAACAAACAAACAAACAAACACAACAAAACGAACAGCCAAAAAAGTGTAAGTTAGAAGCTGCTTAAAATCCTAATTAAGAAGCACTGCTCCACTGTCTATTGCCAGGAGCTGGGAAGGCTGGTAGGGTGTGTGAAGAGCGTCTGGTACCTGCACTGAACATTTTTCCTGCACCAGAGATCACCACCGCCCGACAGTCAGCGTCTCTCGAAATCTTGTTGAAGCACTCTACCATCTCTCTGTGAAGCAACGAGTGAAGGGCTACAAATGGGGTGGGAATACCCTGCCCTCATGTCCATCTCCCCACAAGGTTCCACTCTGGCCCAGTCCCGCAGCCCCCGCCTCCCCCGGCAGGCAGGCCTCCAGGATCTGCAGGTCACACCTCCAGAAGGCCTTGTTCATGGCATTCCTCTTGTTGGGCCGGTTGATCTGGACATGCAGAACGTGTTTCTGCGCAGATGTCACACGAAGGGACTCATAGCTGTGGTCTGGGGCTTCCTCTTGTGCAGAGGAGCCAGTGAGGCGAAGGCTAATACCGACGCCCGAGTAGTTGGAGGCTGTCAATCCTGCGGAGAAAGGAAGAGCCTTTGAGGACCCCAGACTCCAAGACACAGGCCTATAGAATTAGGGAGCCCTTCAAAAGGGAGGACACGCACCCCTGAATTTAGGGGACTCGGGTCCTTCGTGACCCCGGATGGGCTTCCCCGTCCTACAGCTGCTATAACAGCACGACAGCGCGATACACCACCATAAGTCAAGCGGTGACTCACGCCGGCTCAGTAGGTCGCGGAGTCTGCGAGAAGCCACTATCCCCGCCGCCATCGCCGCCGCCTTCGTCTACAGCGTTGGGACCGAGTAACCCACCAGTTAGCGGAGGGGGCGGGCACAAACGGCCGCCATGTTGAGCGAGGGCACCGATGCCGCAGCCTGACAGGCAAGGACGCCGTTCTCCCCGCCATCTTTACTAAGGGCAGCCGAGTTCCGGTTGCCTTACATAGTTAGAGCCAAGCTCAGAAAAGGACCCTTTGCCCGAGTGGGAACCTGGCCTGAGAAAATAGCTCCTACAACGGTGTGAACCCGGGAGGCGGAGCTTGCAGTGAGCCGAGATAGAGCCATTGCTCTCCAGCTCTCCAGCTTGGGAGACTCAGTCCAAAAAGGAAAAGAAAATAGCTCCTGCTAAAGTTCATGACACCGCTGTTTCATAATGGTGGAATAATTGGCGACAGCTGAAACGTCCAAGGACATAATGGCAGCAGAGCTTGTCATCATGCATGTGTATATATCATGTTAACTAAAAATAAAACTTGCATTACTGTGAGTTTACCCACGTAAAGGAATGAGTACAGACGGGCCAACATTAAGCGCTGACTGTATATGAACTCCCACCAGGAGGTCGTACTGTTTCCCACTATATGCAGAGGAAACTGACTCAGGCACGGGAAGACACGGGGTTCAAGGTCGCTGGGCTTCAGAAGGGCTAAAGTAGGATTACATAGTTCCAGAGTTCATATTTTTAGGCCGGCTCGTGGCTCACGCCTGTTATACAAGCACTTTGGGAGGCCGCGGCAGGCGGATCACCTGAGGTCAGGAGTTCAAGACCAGCCTGGTCAACATGGCGAAATCCCGTCTCTAGTAAAAATACAAAAATTAGCTGGGTGCGGTGTCCGGCACCTGTAATCCCAGCGGGAGGCTGAGGCAGGAGAATGGCTTGAGCCCAGGAGGCGGAGATTGCAATGAGCAGAGATTGCGCCACTGCACTCAAGCCTGGGTGACAGAGCAAGACTCCGTCTCAAAAAAAAAAAAAAAAAAAACAGTTGCATGTTCTTCACAAAACGCACCAGGCGAAAACTCCTCTCGCGCCTCGCCCGCTTCCGCGCGCACCTAAAAAGTAACTCATTAACAACTCGGCTGCGCGCGGCGACGCAGGTGGCTCGCGGCTGTACCTGTT